TGGAGGGCAGAGCCCTGAGCCAGGCTGTGGGCCAGAAGACCAGGTTCAGATCCAGGCTGCGTCCTGTGTGTACTCTTGGCCACCACTTCCTCCATGGGCCTCAGTTTCCCCAGGGTCCCTAAGGGCGGCCAAGAAGAGGTCGCCCCTGCCCTCTCTAAATAGGCTCCGTCTAGCCCCTCTCTATTATTTAGCCATCTCCAGCTTGTTACTGATCTATTCACCTGTTTATCATCTGTCTCCCACCATAGACTGTAAACTACAGAGAAGGACGCTGTGAGCCACATTCGCTGCTGTTTCCAGGCCTCCGTCCCCAGCACATGCCTAGCATGGAGCAGTCACCTGATCCATGTGTTTTGACTGACTGACGGACGGGCTTCCTGAGTGAATGATGCTGCACTGGGGCCTGTCTCAGCCAGGAACTGGACAAACAGCCTGCCTGGCCTCTCCTACGCCCTCTGGATCTGTGCCTGTCATCCAGCACAGGCAAGCCCCAGTGCCACCAGCGAGGACGTGCAACGTGGGCGAGAAATGCCCCCAGCCTCTCCCCATCCAAGGACCAAGCCCTGGATGGAAGATGGGCCTGGGGTTGGGGCCTGAGGGATCAAGTACACTTCTGGACTTCCAGATCCTTCCCCGGCTTGGGGCTGCCTCTAGGTGGCAGTTTCACCTCGGATTTAAACCTGCAAGGAGCCAGGCCAGACCTGGGTTCAAATCCAGATCCTACAACTTACTAGAACAGCTCCTTGAGCCTCAGTTTCCTCATCTGTAAAGTGGGTATGATGATGATAACATCAGACACAGCAAGGAGGATGAGAATACTAGCTCCTCCCCTCACAGAATATCTGGATCTAACTCGGCTTTTTCATCACAATCACAAAACACCTGAGAAGCTACTTCTGAAACAAGGAGACCTTTTGGTTCACAGTTTTGGAGGTTTCCATCCAAGATCAGCTGGACCTTACCGGTCCAGAATGCAGCAGAAGCTGCAGCCTGGCGACCACAGAGCGTGTGCAGTAGACGGGCAGGGCCACAAGGCGAATCCCAGTGCAGAGAGGCTGGCTCTGCTTAGGCTTTTATAACCCGCCCTCTCGCGAGAACGCCCTCCGAGGGCACGCCCCGTGACCTCAGGACGCCCTCCAGGCCCGCCTCCCAGCCGTGGTAACAGGTTCAAGTCTCCACCCTCACAGCCCCTGCGCTTGGCCCTGTGAGTGCAGATGCTGCAGGGTCCTGTTCAATCTGCAGAGTGGGGAGAGGCTTCTTAGAAAGCCCCCTGCGCGCACGCGCGTGGGGCCTGGATGTGCCCCACGGGCCACGGTGCCGAGGGGCCAAGGTGCTCAGCTCCTCTTCCGGGAGCACGCCTGGCCCAGGAGCCGCGTGGCTGGGGAGGCGGGCGCTGCTGCGGTGAGCCGGGGCTCGAGGCAGCTGCAGGTGTGGTGCGCGTTAGGCACCGACCGCAGCAGAGAGCGCTGTGCGCAGTGACTCAACGTGCATAGGCGGAGGGACTGCCACCCTTTGCCTTTCAAGAGAGGAAATCGCCCTTCTGTAGATGCGCCATCTCATCTGGTGCCTGTACCTGCACTGCGCACTGTGCCACGCTGCCCCCTTCCACCTTGGCCGCCAGCACCAGCACCACTCCGGCTCCTAGACGCCTTCCTAGCCTCTCGCTTCCCAGTCTTGTCTCCCTCTCTCTGCCTGCTGCCCACTACCCACCACTCGTCTCTTCCAATCTCTTTCTTTCTCCATCTGCCACCACCACCACATCCCCCCTCTTCTCGCCCTCTGTTCCTCTTTCCATCCCCTTGCTGTGGGGATCCAGCGAGTGTAGACCGCTACCAGGGTGCTGCAGGCAGCCAAAGGGCTCCTTGGGCTCTGAGGAGCCCAGACTTCCCCTTGCAAAGGCCATAGATGCTGCAAAGCCCCATGGGACCATATAGTGATCCAGCTGTTTGTTCTGGGCGCAGAGGACATGTGCTCAGAGAATCTGCATCCAGACAACACCACCAGAAGCCTTGTGTGGTTTGCTGCCTGTGGTCTGTGGGGAAGGAGAGCCTGGTGCTTTAGGGGACCCTAGCAACCCCAGAATAAAATCATTTGGGAGAGTCTGGTATATTTGCATGCAAGTTTGCCTTCATCCACACTCTGCCCCACCTCCCCACCCCCCACATTGGAACTAGGTTTTAAAAGTTAATTGCTGTGACCCTGAGCTGCAGAGTTCTCTCCTGCAGGCCTGGCCCCTCGAGGCATGGTCCAGCTTTGTCTTCTGGTTGCTCTGAGCAGCAGCTGCCTTCCTCCTTCCTGGGTCTGTCCCTGAACCTGCTGGAAGAGGGTCACGCCTACAAGGAGTTCATCAAGGGCTGTCTTGTACTCCAGGAAGGGGATAGAGGTGGTGAAACAGAGGAGGCAAGGTGGAAGGAGTTCGATGTGCAACATTGTTCTAAGAGCTGAGATGTTGTTAAGCGGGGGGGCAGAACCACTGGTAGGATAGGCTGTTGCTCCCTGATGAAAATGGCACCAAGAGTCTGAAAAGCTCTTGACCTTGTCCCCCAGGGACAGGAAGAGCTGCTTACCCCTGTTGGGATAAAGCAGCATGAAAGTCTGCCCCCAGGGGCCAGGTGCAGGGGTCAGGTGTGCTCCTGAGGTTTCTTAGTGCCGTGTGTGTGTGTGTGTGTGTGTGTGTGTGTGTGATCTGATTATTTTCTCAGGATTAACCAGGCTTGACCAAGTATTTTTCTGGACCAGTCCAACTTCAAATCAGCTCATCTTGTTCATTCATTTTCAGGTAGTTCTGATTTTACAGGAAACAGCTAAATACCAATTAAGACCCAGACACCGTTCCCTCACTGGCTTTCTCACCACAGGGGTTCTTGGTGCCCCCAGGTGGGTGGTGCCGGTGGTCACCCAGAACCAGATACAGTCATTCTGGCCATGGATGGTCTCTGACAACACTGAAAGAGTGACTGTCTCCACGTAGAGATGAGATCTGCCAGATGGGGTCTGTGGGTTGGTTGGGGACAAGGGGACCCGTGCACAGCTACAGTGTCCCCACCCGTACACCCCAGGTGAGGCTTGAGTGACTACAGCCTGTGAGGGCTCACGCTCAGCTCTCCTGTCCTCCCCCAGTCATCTGCAGGCTACAAATTGCAGCTCTAAGAACCAGGCCAAGGCAACTCAGGCCTTGAATTTACTGAAGTTTGTCCTACACAGCAGCTGGGGAGAAGAGTGGTATTGTCCTTGGGTCATACCTGGGGGTTGCAAAATCGTCAGCAGGTGCCTAATGCCAGCCCCAAGAGCCATCCTGGCCCCTTGCCTGAGTTGCCCTTCTATGAGACATTGGTTTCCTGTTTCCCCCTGCCCTACTATGGGCAAGGCTCTCTGTGGACTGATACAGGACTTTTGTGGTGAGGGACCTCCTAACCGGGACCTCGCGGTGTCCGGAACGGTGGCACAGCACTTCACAGTGTAGACCGGGCCTCCTAACAGCCCCGGGAATCCGATCTTCCCCATTTCCTGGAGGCATTGCCAGACAGCAGTAACTGGGTCCTTGACGCTGCACCCGGTATGTTCCACGGCATGTTGAGCTAGGGAAGCCCCTGGATGAGGGCTCAGGTGGACAGATTCGGGCTGGGTCATCCTAGAAGGCCAGGCCCTACTCTTGGGGGCTTTCAAACCCTGTCTGCCTGATTCTATCTCATTGTGAGTGAATTAATTGTTGTGCAACCTAGAGTGGTGAGACAAGTTAATTACATAATTACTGCAAAATGACACGTTATTTCATGGCTGCAATATGGTAACTCTGTTGGAAACAATTCTAATTGCCCAGAAACTGCATTGGAGTGGCTCGGTTATCTCTCCACAACCATGTAATTAACTTGTTACAACTTTGTCTGCTGCAAACTCTGAAGTTAGGAGCCTGGGACCTCGGGCGGGCTGGGCACCGCCATCCTAGACCTAAAGGCCGGGGAGGGTCTGGTGCTGGGGCTCTGCCACGGTCCAGGAAAAGCTCCTTCCTCGTTGTGTGACCCATTCAGCTCCAGGGGGGTTGGTGCTCTTGCTGCATCCCTGCTGCCTTGGGAAACCTCGCTCAGCCAGGTGGGTGGGAAATGCCCTCCGTTTGGCTGTCTTCCGGCTTGCCTGTCTGCCTCCCACCTCTGCCTAGGCGTCTGTCCGCTTGTGTGTCCACCTGCCCGCCTGCCAGCACATGCATCTGTGGACTTGTCTGCCTCCGCCTCTCCGCAGCCCTCCCAAGTGGCTGGAACCGGCCTGCCCCAGGCCTCCCCACCTCGTCCTGCGGTCACTGCCTCGTGCTTTGTTTGCTTCCCTGGCTTTCTCCCTCCGGGCTGCTGCCTTCCAGCTCCACAGTGAAGTCCTCAAGGGTAGGGACTGTGTCAGATTTGCCCTGGGCCACCTCTGCCTCGAGCACAGGGCTGAGCCACAGAGCAGACGCGGGGTGCGGATGGCCGGAGTGAGCGTCTCTGGCCTGCACGGCTGAGCCAAGGAGCAGCAGCGTTATCGTCACCCACTCAGAAAAGCAGAGAGCGGGGCCCCAGGGTGAGCCCACACTGCTGGGCAGAGACGACAGATGCTATCTGCCAGCTGAGGGAAAGGGGCTTCGGGACACTGCTCCCAGGGCAGGGGGCTCAGGACGTGGGATTTCGGGTCCTTCCATGGAGGAGGTCACATGCGGGTCTCTGTGGGGGATGGAACACAGGACTTCATCTTGGCCCTCTTCTTGGGGACCTGCTCAGGGCCAGGTTGTGTGCTCTGCCAGGGGTTGGGGCAGATACCACAGTTCTTGTCTCTGTCTGGGGCTGGGGGCTCTGAGATGTCCCTTTCCTTCCAGCATCTTCCCTAAATCCACTGGGCCTTTGCCTGCACACAAGAGCCTGGGCTAGAGGCCCCCCCACCCCCACCAGCTCCATACAGGCCCCAGGCCCTACCCTGAGGGGCAGAGCGAGGGGGCCCCAGGGCTGTATCAGTCATGTGAACAATGCACAGTAACCTCCCCGGAACCATTCATAAGTTTAATCCACGCCAGTAATAAAATCGCATTACATTTCTCATAAAATAAATGTTCCCATTTATATACAGAAGACAGACTGTACAGGCCCAGCCTGGCCCCAGGAGGGGTCACACACGGGCGGCGGCGGTGGGGGAGCAAGGGCCATGCTCCCGGTGAGGCAGGAGGAGTTTTAATCCGGCCGGCCAGGCGGGTGGGCGGGCAGGCGCCGGGCGTTACTGAACCTGGGCTTCGAAGGAGCCGTTGAGCTGTCCCTCCTCATAGTCCATCTGACACAAGATCATGTTGTTCTTCAGGAAGAATTTGTCTCCCACGCAAAATCTGCAAAATCCAAGCGAGAGACAGCGGCCATGGGAGGGGGCCCTGGAGGAGGCACAGGTGCAGACAGTCATGCTGGGGCGTCTGGTGCCTGACCTTCCCAGAGGGGACAGCCCAGAGCAAGCCTGCTCAGTTGCTCAGCCGGGGCCTGCTGCCAGGGGTAGTGGGACAGACAGACAGACAGGCCTCCTGCTGTCAGTCTCGGGGTGGGGGTGGGGGGCCGGCAGGGAGGCACAAGGATAACTCACACTAGTCCTGGAAAGGGTGGAAGAAAACAAAGAAGTGGATGGAGGTGGAGAGAGGAGAGACGGAGGGAGGGACAGGATAGGATGGTCGACTTTTCCTTCCCACTGAAGCCTCCCTGGCATGCCTTCTTCCTCTCAACAGAATCGGTAGTTCCCTCCGACATCCCACTGTCGCCTCTCCTACCCAGCCTGGGCCTCCCAGCCCTTCCTCCAGAGGATGTCCCCAGCGTGGCTGAGGCCTTTAGTGAGAGACCAGGGTCACCGGCCCACTCAGCAGATCCCAGTCCAACCACCAGGTGGTGCTGTAACTTCACCAAGCCCTCCTAGCAGTGGGTCTGGTCTGAGTCCCCAGCCAGAGCAGCGTTTGCTGCACGTCCCTGGGGACCTCACCAATCTGTGAACTCTTGCGTGAGTTCCTACCTGACCCGGGGACTCCTGAGTAAGGATCTTCCTTCCTTCCCCATCCTGGCTTGTTAGCTCCCTGAGGACTACTACAGGGCTGGGACACTGCACAGGGCCCAGGAGACCACAAAAGGGGCTGGGCTGGAACCAAACCCACAGGAATGGGGTCAGGAGTGAGTGGCATTCCCTGAAGGCACTTGCCCCTGCCAGTCGGCGAACCCCTTCTCACTAGAATGCATGTCCATGCCCACGTACACAGTACACACCAAGACACAGAGACACAAGGGCATGTTACCCCTTACAGGTGCGCACTTAAAGCACACATGCACACGTACTTATCTCAGCAGGCATACACAGCACAAACAATGCCTTCTCGTGGACACAGAAATACAAGCACACATATACACATATGCATATTAATTCTATCACACACATGTCCCCACTTGCACCTGGACATTTAAAAACACACAAACACGCACACTCACACCATGCACACACAGTGAGCTCATGCATACCCCCATCTATTATGTTCACACAGACATCTGCTGCACACTTGGCCACAAGGGACCAGGCATGCATAAAACACACGTGCACATGCATGCATCCAGCCACGCAGACACACGAGCACACTTCCACAGGGCTCCTGGCGTGGCCCAGCATGCCTCAGGCTGCTGTCCGAAGTGCCAGGTCTGCCACCGGCCAGCACTCACCTCTGGTTGCAGAGCTGGCAGGCGAAGCAGTCGAGGTGATACACGTTGTCTCGGGCCCGCATCACCATCTCGAAGGCGGGGATCAGCTTGCTGCAAGCAGCACAGTTTCCTGTGGTGCCAAAGAGCCTGCCGAGGGAAGGGCACAGAGGACTCGGTGGCCTGCGGGGCTGGGCGGCAGAGTTGTGGGCTTAGCAGGTGGGTCTGGGCAAGGGCATCAGAGCGCAGAGGCAGCACCTAGACTCTGCCATGCAATCAGGCTTCAGAGAAACCAGCAAGTCCCCCGGGAGGGTGTGCCAGGGGTCAGGGGTGGACAGCCCCTGCCTATCCCAAGGGCCCCTCTCAGGCTCCCATTGGGGTCCTTCAAGCATCCGGGGCCCCCAGAAGAGTAGAGGCCCTGGGCAAGATCTCTAGACACTCAAGCCTGAATTTTAGGGGTGGTCTGTCAATCCTAGGCTGTGCGTTCCTAGGCTAGTCACTCAGTCTCTCTGAGCCTCGTCTGCCTCAACGATGAAGCCAAGGCCAGAAAGACTCACCCTTCACTGGGTTGTCATGATCCGTGCAAATCCTCAGTCACAACCCAGTCAGCAGGCTTCCAGGCGGTGTCTATGACAGGGCAGGCCCTGCTCTCAGAGCTTCCCAAAGATGAACTCATTTTCTCCTGACGACAAGCCTGTTAGGGAGCTACTGTCACTGTTCCCCACTCTAGAGACAACAAAGGGCAGGCACAGACTTGCTCCACATAGTGTGCTCTTAAAACTGGATGCTCTTAAAACCGGTGCTGTGGCGCCATAGGTTAACCCTACACCTGCGGTGCCGGCATCTCACATGGGCACCTGGCCCATATGGGCACCGGTTTGAGTCCCGGCTGCTCCTCTTCCAATCCAGATCTCTGCCATGGCCTGGGAAAGCAGCAGAAGATGGCCCAAGTCGTTGGGCCCCTGCACCCACATGGGAGACCCAGAAGAAGCTCCTGGCTCCAAATCAGCTCAGCTCTGGCTGTTGAAGCCATTTGGGTGAACAAAGGATGGAAGACTTCTGTCTGTCTCTTTCTCTCTCTCTCTCCCACTGTCTGTAACTCTATCTCTCAAATAAATAAATAAATCTTTTAAGAAAAAAGACTGGGCCGGCGCCGCGGCTCACTAGGCTAATCCTCCGCCTAGCGGCGCCGGCACACCGGGTTCTAGTCCTGGTTGGGGCGCCGGATTCTGTCCCGGTTGCCCCTCTTCCAGGCCAGCTCTCTGCTGTGGCCAGGGAGTGCAGTGGAGGATGGCCCAGGTGCTTGGGCCCTGCACCCCATGGGAGACCAGGAAAAGCACCTGGCTCCTGGCTCCTGCCATCGGATCAGCGCGCGCCGCAGCGCGCTGGCCGCGGCGGCCATTGGAGGGTGAACCAACGGCAAAGGAAGACCTTTCTCTCTGTCTCTCTCTCTCACTGTCCACTCTGCCTGTCAAAAATAAATAAATAAATAAATATAAATAAAAAAAAAGAAAAAAAAAGACTGTGGGATGCCGCCTCCCTATCTTCACAATTAGTGTTTTATTAAACGCGTTTCCTGCTACCAACTGTCATTGGCCCAGGCCCATTTTTCCTTTTCCAAAGACTCAGTTTATCCTTCTGAAAGATGGGGGCACTGGCCAAGTTGACCCTGTTGGACGATGCTTCTCAAATGGAAGTGACGCCCAACGAAGTTCCACGGGCACCTGGCACAAATGCCTCATTTTGAGGCAGGCGCCCACCCTCTGAGCTGCTGGCTGCAAAGCTCTATAGAGGGACAGGGGTTCACGCCCTTTGCGCACAGGCCAGTGCTTGGCTGGATGCTCCAATGGTCTGTGCCAACCAGGTTTCTCATTGCTTCCTTTCTGCACACCAGCAAAGCAAGCCCCAAGTGAGACGAGGGGGCCGAGAGGAGGCTGGGGGCCCCCTTCTAATCCCCGATTTGTCCAGCTCAAGCTCAGGCGCCTGCAGACAAACTTGGCTCCATTATTCATCAGCCTGAGCTGCCTGGTGGCTCAGATAAAGGCAGACAAAGGCTGGGCCACAGCATCTGCCGCCAACAGCCGCCTTCACTGCCACCCGCCTGACGAGTGGTTGCTGCAAAGGGGGCAGGACATTCTCTGGGGCTGAGTAGCCCCTGGCTTCCCTGGCCCCAAAAGTCACCCCTCGCATCTGCCCGGGGCGGGGGGTGGTGTCGGAAAATACCTTGAGCCCCTGGTAGCTGGCATGGCCCTCTGGCTCTCCTGCCAAGCCATCTGCACCAGGGCCCTCCCTCTCCAAGCCCTGTGGACCCAGCAGACGTCTGCCACTTTCCTAGGCTGGTAGGCGCAGCCCCCAGGAGATGCCCCAAACCTCTAGGCTTAGAGGCCCCTTGCGACCCTCAAGGGGTGAACCCCAGAAGCATCTTTCCTGAACCCCTCTTCCTGGCCTCAGCTCCTCTCCAGCCCTAGCCAGGAGCACTGAGCCACAGTGCATCACTTCTTTTTCAAAAGCCTGCAGAAGCCCAGAGTCAGAGAAGAGCAGGTGCAGCAGGTCAATCTCAGGCCCTTCAGGGAAGCAGGGAGCCCCCGCTGGTGACTCCGCACCCCGACAGGCCCGGGCCTGAGCAGAGGCAGCCCCACAGCCTTGGCCCCGACCTGTTAATTAACGCGCTGGGCCATCCTTCCCCACCAGGCCCGGCGGCCAGCCAGCAGCCTGCACAGAGCCAAATGCAGGTGCTGGGCCTCAGCCAAAGCCCCTGCTTTGTGGCCTCCTTCCAGCCTTGCTGATGTCATAAATGGCCTCGGGGAGGGTTAATTGGGGGAGGCAGCCCCAGGGGATGAGATTTGGGGTGTGGGGGAGGGTGAGTCAGAGCTCTGAGGAATGCAAGGCAGGCAGGCAGGCAACCACGGCTCTTCTCACCACTTCACAAAGGAGAAACTGAGGCTGGGACACAGGCTCGGGGCCAGTCCAAGACTAGGCCTTTAAGCTCCACGTCAGTGGTCCTGCTCCAGCATGGCTACCTGCCAGGCTCCCCAGGCAGATGGAATCCCAGATGCCACAGAGCACTTGAAAAGGGAGGGGGTGGCACTGAGAGAGGTTCCATCAGGGAGGAGGGGGGCCCAGGTGAGTTGGAGCTCCCTCACCTGCTCTTAAAGCCCCTCCCAGGTCCCCAGAATAGGTGAATTAGAAGCAACTGGTGGGGCCAGCGCTGTGGCATAGCGGGTAAAGCCGCCGCCTGCAGTGCCAGCATCCCATCTGGGCGCCGGTTTGAGTCCCAGCTGCTCCACTTCTGATCTGGCTCTCTGCTGTGGCCTGGGAAAGCAGTGGAAGATGATCCAAGTCCTTGGGCCCCAGCACCCACATGGGAGACCTGAAGGAAGCTCCTGGCTCCGGATTGGTGCAGCTCCAGCCATTGCAGCCAACTGGGGAGTGAATCAGTGGATGGAAGACCTCTCTCTCTCTCTTTCTCTCTCTCTCTCTCTTTCTGCCTCTCCTCTCCTCTGTGTAACTCTTTCAAATAAATAAATAAATCTTAAAAATAAAAAAAAAAATAAAAAAAAGCAGCACCTGGCAAGGCTGGAGCCAGGTTGGGGCCCTTGGAAAGCTTAGCTCAGGTACGTAGCCGTCACTGAGCTTGCCTTGCACCTGTTCTGGGCCGAGTACAGGGAGTTCAGGCCCTGCCTGCCCTGGGCTTGGGGAAGCAGACGTGGGGGCCTGGCTGGGGCGCGGGGCGCGAGGGCCCACCTCAGGTAGTCGCGGCGGCACAGGATGAGGTTGGCCTTGGTGTAGAGGGTGGAGCCCACCTCGCCCAGGCGGCAGTCGCAGCAGGCGCACTTGAGGCAGTCTTCGTGCCAGTACTTGTCCAGCGCCTTCAGCAGGTAGCGGTCCTTGATCTTGCGGTGACAGCCTGCGCAGCCCTTCTGCTTCCCTTTGGGCTGGACGGAGAGCATCGGCACGCCTGTGGGTGGACAGACAGACAGATGGACGCGGGGCACAGCCCTCCGGGAACAGAGACTTCCACCAGGTGTCTGGTTCCCAGGAGCCCACACAGCGCAGCCTGCTCCCCGGGCTGTGTGGTACTCCTGGAGGCTATTCTGCTCCAGGCCTGGCTTTGCTGACCTGTTCCCCCCACCCCTCACCCCGTCCCAGTCACTGCCCGCTGTGCAGCTCATCCCCCTTCCACACACAGCCACCATCCTGTGGGCCCCTCGGCAAAGAATAAAGAACGGACTCTCAGAACGCACAGGCGCCCCCCGGGACCCCCAGGGCTTCTGGCCAACTCAAGCCTTCCTCCACACTGCCCGTGCATTTGACGTCTTGTCTGGCCCCAGCCTCTTGGCCCAATCCTGAAGAACCCGAGATGCTCCTGGGACCCTCCCAGGAGGGAGCAGGTGGTGTGGAGCTCCTGGCGCCTGTGGGGAGGCAGCTGGACCGGGACTATTTGAGGTTCCCCCTGGCAGTGCTTCAGGTGGAGTCCAACTGGTACCTGCCTGGCTTGAGGGAATGCAGGTTCCGAGCCTCTGGCTCCTTGCTTGTCCTACCAGAAGACTCCCTGAGCACAGTAGGGGACGGGGGAGATTCGGGGTGGATCCCCACTCTGGGTATAGCGCAGCTGCATGGAAGGGTCGACTAGAGCCCACCCCTTCCACTTCCAGGCTTTCCAGCAGGTCCCTTGACCTGGCCTCATCCTCTCCAGTGAAGCCCTCCCTCTCCAGGGCTGCAGTTCAGTCCCCATGCCTGGGGGCCCTCCCATTCCCAGCGCCAGCTGCTGGGCCACTTCCCTTCCTTTGCCCTCTCTTTGGCTGCGGTCCTTCCTTAGGCTTGGGGAGGAGGCTGCCAAGCGGCCTCAGGCTCAGAATCCACGGAGGTTAGGTGCAGAGGGCTCTGAGGTTCTTCTAGTCAAATGCCCCCGTTCTGCAGATGGAGAAACTAAGGCCTGGCCAGTGAGGGGGGTAGCGGGAGTTGACCCGGGCTCTTCTTTCCCATGTCCTGGGCTTGTTTCTCAGTCCAGATGCCTCCCAAGACTCCTCGTGGAGGCCAGGCGCAGTGGGAGAGCTGGGGGCACCGGGGAGGCTGCCACGTCACGCAGGCAGCAGTGGCAGGGGCCAGCGGACTCTCCTTTCTCCCTCTCCAGCCCCTGCTGGGCCAGCTGTTAGCTGGGAAGTTGCTGCCTAATTTCCTGAATGCAGCTCAGGTTAACTGGTCGGAGAGGACAATGGGCTGCGGATGACCCTGTCCCCAGGCCTGCCAGTGTCCCCTCTGGCTCAGCTGGGTCCCTGAGCTCTCCACGAGCCCTTGGAGGCCAGCTGGGGAGCGGGCGCCCCTGAGAGCTGAGGCCTGTGAGGCTCCCTCCAAGGCCTGGCCCACAGGGAGAAACAAGGAGTAGGAAAACAGGGGAGGGTTTCGGGGGAGGCCTGGGGGCTCCAAGGGTGGGACTCTTATCTTTGCCTGGCTACAGAGCCTGCAGGGCTGTGGATCCTAGGACGGCCAGCATCCCCTCCCCAGAGGGAGCTGAGACCTGGAGGACCCCATGGAAGCTGTGAGGAGCAGAGCCACCCGCTGCCCTGGTCCCCCAACCTGTGCCCGGGGAACTCTGTAAGGCAGGGCACCCCTCCCCCAAGGCACTCAACTAGACATGCTGCCAAACGTCCCACGTCCACCGAGGCACACAACGCCAGGGCCAGCAAGGCCGGGAAGCCCCAGCATATCTGGGGGCCCTGGTGCTTTCTCTGCCAGGGAGGCAGAAGTCCTGGGAGAAGCCTGCCCCAGAGCCTGGCGGGGCAAGCAGCTGGGACTGTGTGCAGGGCTCCAGAGCAGATCTCCTGGTCTCTCTGGGCCCCAGGCCCCTTATCTGCACACTGAGGAGAGGAAAGAGCCCCTTGTTTCTCTCTGGAAGGTGGAAGAGTCCTGGGGGCTGCACCGCACGGGAAGAGGGAGTCAGCCCTCCTTCCTTCGTGGGCACCATAGCTCGCTTCCCTGGGCTGTGCCTGGCAGCTGTTAACACCCCTGGGAAGAGGAAGGGCTGCTCCCCAAACAGAGGGAGACGCCCCAGAGGCTCTGGGCTTCACTGCCGTCCCACCTCCCCAGCCCCCAGCCAGCCCCCAGCCTGCCCCCTGCAGACACCTCCCTCCCACCTCCACCCCTGCCTGGCTCTGGGAGCCCAGCCTGGGGCCGTGCACTTTCCATTAAGGAGATAGCATCCCTTTGCCCAAGTCCATTTGGGATCCATTTTAGTGTTATCTAAAAATCAAATCTACATGGTAATCCTTTTAATGTACTCCTGACTTTAGAAAAAAACAGCTTTGCGCTCCTTCAGGAAAGGTTTTAAAGCATTACCCGGTAATTACCACTCACCCATGAAAACACTGATATTTTACAAGGCCTGATGGCTGTGCCTACACAAACGCCTGGCCACATGCTCAGATGCACGCACTGGGCCCAGCAAAGCAAGCCAGTTCACTCCCTCAGGTCGTGGGGCACCCCAAATCTCCGGGGCTGTGGGGGCCGCATTTGAGTGGCGAGAGGTCAAGCCTCAAGCCTTACCTTTCCCTGCGCAGGGCAGCGGCAGCTGGCTGGGAAGGAGGCAGCCAGGCCGCAGAGAGAAGCCCTGTCTGACTCATCCGCCAGCGGCGGCCAGACACTTGGCCTCAGTTCTTTCATCTAAGGACAAGCTGGGCAGCCCCGGTGAGTGGCAGGTGACGGGAAGGAGCCGCCAGAGGCCATCGGGCCCCTCTCACACGCTGCCTCCAGCTGGGAGCCATGCCCTCCTCTTCACACTGACCCCCAGAGCTGTCTGCCAGGCCAGCCCCAAGTCCTCAGCAACTCCTGCTTCCCTCCCGGAAACCACGCTGGCCTCGGATCCAGCACGTGGAAGCCTGCAAGGCTCCCAGGCCCACCAAGGCCTGAGTCTGCCTGCAGCACTATGAGTATCTACCCCACCCAGCCCCAGGCCACTCCCGGCCAAGCTCTGTGGCTGCCCGGCTGGAGGCCACTGCAGCCAGCACTGGCGACTCCCCCCAGGCCCCCTCTCCCAGGTCACCATGTCCTCCTTGGCACTGCAGGCTTACTTCTGTCCCAGGGCCCACACTCTGCTGCCACTCTGGGAAGAAATGCCTGTGTCCTGCGCAGCCTGGGTCAGCAGTGGGGCTGAGGCTATGAGCATGGCCCTGGAAGTCGGTGAGCCTGGCCTGGAGTCTGAGAGCTGCCCCGCGGAGCCGGGGGCCTGCAGCAGGTCCTTTCACCTTTCTGACTTGCACCTGTGCAACAGCGGCCCGAAGATGACATCCCTGCCCTGGCGCTTGTTTGTTCCTTAACTTCCTCCCGGGGCTGGTGTTGTGGCTCAGCAGGTCCAGCTGCCCCCTGGGATATTGGCATCCCACACAGGCACCGGTTTGATTTGAGTCCCAGCTGCTCCACTTCTGATCCAGTTCCCTGCTAATGCACCTGGGGAGGCAGCAGAGGATAGTCGGAATGCTTGGGCCCCTGCCAACCATGTGGGAGACGTGGACGAAGCTCCTGGCTCCTGACTTCAGCTTGACCCAGGTCTGGCCATTGCAGCCATCTGAGGAGTGACCCAGGCAATGGAAGATCTTACTTTCTCTTTCTCTTGCTCTGTAACTCTGCCATCCAAATAAATAAACAAATCTTAAACACACTCACACACACACTTTTTTTTTAGACAGAGTTAGACAGGGGGAGAGAGAGAGAGAGAGAAAGGTCTTCCTTTTCCGTTGGTTCACCCCCCAAATGGCCACTATGGCCAGTGTGCTGCACGCTGAGACAGGTGCTTCCTCCTGGTCTCCCAAACACACACATTTTTATCTTAACACAATTCCAAGCTCTCAGAGAAGTATGTACCCTTCACTGGATTCCCCAAATACGAGCCTTCTACCAAATCTGCCTTTTCCTCTCCTTCCTACTTCTTTCCACCTCCACTTGTTCCCTCGCTACTTGCCTACCCATCTAAATACCAACCCACCTAGGTACCTGCAATTTATTTTCCTGAATCATTTGAGGGTTTGTTTTGGACATGACACCTCCATACTCCAAAATACTGCAGTGCGTAAATACCTTACTAAGAGCCAGGACATTCATACATGATAACAGGTCAATGATCAAACCAGGAAATCATTCAGATTTCACCAATTCCTCAGGAACATCTTTTATGGCAAAGCCCTGCACTGTGCATCCAAGTTTAGTCCGCACTGGCCCTCCCTTACCCAAGGCTCTGCTCTCCACAGTTTCCATTATCCAAGGTCAACCCCGGCCCAAAAATATCAACATGTGTATTGATTCTTGAGACAGACCACATTCACATCATCTGATTACAGTGTATTATTTCAATTATCCTATGTTAGTATGTTATTGTTGTCAGTCTTTCACTCTATCAGAAGTATGTGGAAAACACAGGGCATACAGGTGCCACATGAGCTGCGATTTCAGGCAGGGGGTCTTGGAACATACCCCCCTCCCGAAACAGGGCGGTGGCTGTACTTAAATCAGAAGAATGACTAAGCCTTTTCTACTGTTTCAAGACCTTGGCACTTTTGAAGACTGTGAGCCAGTTATTTTATGGCCCAGCTCTGTATTTGGGTTTGCTGACTATTTTTCGACTTTGTGCCTCAGCTTCTTTCTTTTGTGAACTCGGGTGTGAAAACAGCACTCATAGACTTACAAGAGGCACATATGCTACACGCTAGGACCAACAGCCTGGCTGTCTAGTTAGCTCTGAGTAGTGTTACCCACTCAGCACAGGGAAGAGGTGATGGAGCTCCATCTCAGGTCCCCAAAACAGTGAGAAGCACCCATTCTGGAGCAGCGATAAAATGGTCTGAATGCGCCACCGTGGTTAGTGCCACACAGGCACTGGCCAGAGTCCAGCATTAGTCACAGGACAGTCTAGTGGTCAGGGCAAGCGTGTGCAGAGGTCAGCCCTGTCTGTCCAGCAGGCTGTTCCAG